GTTTGGTGTTCTTTTATATTTCCCGGAAAATAGATTAATTCTATTCTTCTGTTGACTGCTTCCTGCCTGATCCTAAGGGTCAGACTACTCATTGATCTGTATCGGAGGCAATTGAGTCAAAGAACCATGACTGCAGTTAAAACAAGCAGTTTTATGAAGATTGCAATTATTTGGTTTCAAGATGTTCACGGGATCATTGCTACTGGCTGTGGTTTAAATTGTAACATTTCTTTTCTAAGCTTGGTCTGGGATCATCTTCATACAGTATGCTATGTATCCTCTCACTAAAGATTTTGGATTGTTTCTTGCCCTCTTTACTTACTGTCAAGAAATCAGAGGGCCAGGAGAGAAAACTATTCTCTTAGCTAATTACTGCAATTTTATTCTATAACAGCTATTTTAGATGAATTTTCAATGAAATATGCATGTGTCCGTTTGGTATTTCATAACTTTCAGGTCCATCCTTTATACTCTAGCAATTCGTTGTGTGAGGATTTAAAGACACTTGGTGCAATTTCACTTGTGCCTGTTGAAACTGAATAAAATCAAATACATCTGCTAAACAGTAAGGTGACTGAAAAGAATATGGTTTGACACTGAAAGATGCTGAGCATCTGAAGTTCCATTGAAATCCTTTCAGGATCAGGCCCATGGTGCTATAGTTAAAGCGATATGTACTTTGCTTTTGTTTAATATCCTACCTAGCTGCATACTTCTCAAATCAAATGCTAGAGCCCATATGAAGACTAACTAGTTTCTTTAAGGCCTAAATGTTCTTCAAGTCTAGACCCATTTACAGAATAAAAAGCCATCATATGGAAATGCTATTAATGCACACACAAAAGTTATGCAAATCCTGATAATAATAAATAATAATAATAGCCAAAGCCAAACACACACACACACACACACACACACACACAATTCTACCATCCTCTGACTCTATACTGGAATGTGATGTGAGGAATGGCCAGTTTCTGAAGTCTGGTCTGATGCAGAATGGCAATTCCTATATTTCCCTCTGAAAATTAGGGACTTCTTTCATGACAGCTAAACTTTAATTCTTACATCTGCAATGTTTTTTAGAAGGGGAGTTAGCCTTCCCCTGGATTTATTTTCAGTTTCTTTTGCACTTCAGCATTCCTTATGGTTCACCACACTGTGCCACTGGTTTCTAAGTCAGCTACTTAATGACGCTTAAGCTTTACTCTGACTTTCTACCATCAAAGCCCTTTGCCAAGGTCATGAATTTGCATGTTGTTTCTTTGGTTTGTGCCGAGTTTCAGAGATTCAGTCTGTTTTTTCAGAAAGGCTTTTATATAGGAGAAAATAAACAAGACTCTACAATACCCAACTGCTTTCAGAACAGACCTAATGAACAATGGCCGGGACCATCCTACGAGCCTTCTTCGCTGGCATTCAGCACCTTGCAGAGCCAGGCCCCGACATGGAGATGAAAGACGACAGAGGACACTGAACAAAAACTTGAGTTTCAGCTTTAAATGTCCCCTTACAATGAAGCAGACAAATGTCCCTAACAATGGATACCTGGCACCATTCGGAATGACACTAAGCTGTGCAAGGAGAGAGAAAAAAGGGAGGGGGTGCGGGGGGAAGCTTCCCATGAGATTCAATGCATGATCTGGCTGCGTGCTCTTTTTTTGGCTTTGTTTTTGTTTAGACTCAAAAGGCTCTTGGAAACTTTGGCAATCACTATTTTACACTGTTTCCCCCTGTCTTTTGTGAGATTGTCAAGATCTACGTGCCGGGAGCAGGATTAGCTCTTCCTCGCTCTTCCATGTTGTAGGGTTTTTTGTTGTGTGTCTTTTGAAGGAAGGTTTTTATTCAGAGTCATTAAAACACAGTGAGAGTTACACAAGTCCATAATCGGATGGAACAGCCTCAATTTTCATTTCCTTTTTTAAATCTTTCCCTCTCTCATCCCCAGATTTCGGGGCAGCCTGGGACTACAGCGGTGGTTAAAACAGAAAACCCTTTTTCAATGTGCTTGTGCAGGAGAGACACGTTTTAGCTAGAATTGTATAGATTATAACCCTGGGGGAGGGGGCATTGCCTGGCCTTCAAGTTGGACAGAATGGTGACAATGCGAGCGCCTACTTGGTGTGAGCTCCTCTGTCATTCCCCTGTACCTCCCCAGACAAAACTACCCATGGCTATGCCTCACCCAGCAATTCAGAAGCCTACTCACAATCTGCATAGGGAGAAAGAAAATATTACTCCTCTTCTGGACCATCAGATCCAACCTAAAGGCTGGACAACTGAAAAATTATCAAAGCCAGCAAGTCAGCTGTTCAAGTTTTCTATTTTCTGAGTGGAGCAGCTCTGTTTTAATGTTACACAGTAATAAGAGTTATATGCAATAGCCTGCTGGCTTAGAGTCGCATACTGTACCATCCTATAGTTTTTCCTATGATCGTCTTCTGTGTTTCTATTGAATTTGTTCTGTTCTGCTATTATATAAATAGGCCCCATGACTGAGAAACAAAATATTGTATACAAGGGTATAATCCTGTTTCTCTAAAGAACAATGTTAGAAATGCTCAACATGGTGAAGACAAAACACTACTCAGTCATAATGCTCTGCAGGGGGGAACAAACATCCATGCAAACAGCCTCAGCTCTGTCCAGTTAGACGGAAATTCTAAAACACATCCTATGCATCACACTCCATCCCACCAAGTATACAGCGCACACACCATTCCCTAGAATACATTAGTCTACTCCTTTCTGAAAGTTTACTGTCAGTACGAGGAATTTGGATTCTTTCCTCAGGAACGGCAACTGAAAAAGCAGACTGGCTTTTTAGAGACTGTTCTAATATTTAAAAAAAAAAACCCTCAAAATTTGCCAGTAGCAGTATTTGCTGTGAGAGTGGAAAGGCTAGTTTAAACAAGATACAGTTTCCCCTACCCCTCCAGTAAAACACATGGCAATGATTTCTTCTCAGCTTTCCATTTACAGATTTGTACAGCAAGGACATTACTGTTTTGGGGGTCTGCTTTTATGGAGAGGGTTGGAAAGCCACACTTGGGAGTGTCTTGGTGCTGAGAATTACCACCACCATGAATTACATAACTGGATCAAACAGAGGTTGTCAATGCAACATTTTCTATCCATCTCTAAAAATAAAATGGTTCCAAGGAAAGAAAGCCAACTTTTCAGCATATGTGAGAGAGCTAATATTTTCAAATTAGTCATTTTTGATTCAGCAATTACAACGGGAAATAGTAACAGTGAAAACTAAGCACAGACTAAAGAAAATTCTGCGTTGCCAGCTTGACAAATCTCAAGAAAACCATGAAATATGTTTCCACCCAGGAACTGAATACAAATCAAAGCTGCATTCTCAAACACCTGCAGCACCAATTAAGAGTCCACTGTGTTCATCCAGGAGCCTCTTTTTGGAATGCAGAAAGAATGTACATCTCCCAATATGTTCTTTTGAAATTTCTCAGAGAGAAATGCTAGCTGTGGAGATTAGATTCCCCACGTGTTTGCTACCACATAGCCTCTATCCTCCTCTCTAGCCCTCCAAAAAAGCCAAAACAAAACAGGCACCAGAGACATTTCCAAACGTCAGTTCAAGATCTTGAAGATGAACAAGGCCAATACGGTTATTTTTCAGAAAAGTTGATCGCTTGTGAGGGAAGCAGAAAAGAGAATGTCCCCTCATATACTCATACTGCAAAATCAAAACACCTGTGTGTCCTTGGTGGCAGAACCTAGTAGTTCCTTGTCTAGCAATTCATTGCTGAAACAATGTTGTCCTTTAGCTAATGCTTTCACAGTGCAATACTACCAGGTGATGAGTTAGGTCAGGGGTCAGCAACGTTTGGCACGCGGCTCGCCAGGGTAAGCACCCTAGCGGGCCGGGCCAGTTTATTTACCTGCTGACACGGCAGGTTCGGGCGATCGCGGCCCCCACTGGCTGCGGTTCGCCATCCCGGGCCAATGGGGGTGGCGGGAAGCCGCGGCCAGCACATCCCTCGGCCCGCGCCGCTTCCCGCCGCCCCCATTGGACCGGGACGGCGAACCGCAGCGAGTGGGGGCTGCGATCGGCCGAACCTGCCGCATCAGCAGGTAAATAAACTGGCCCGGCCTGCTAGGGTGCTTACCCTGGCGAGCCGCGTGCCGAACGTTGCCGACCCCTGAGTTAGGTTAATGAAGACTTTTAACTAGTCCTATCAATTATTTCTGAAGGGAAAAAGGGAACTTAACTGACAGCATACAAGATAAAAATCTTGGCTAGGATATATGTGTTAGGGATAGGGGGAGAAAGGTTTGTTTAAATTCTTTCTGATATACCAGAAATCTGATTTATTTGAGGTATTTGGATGGAGAGAGCAAGACATACATTGTAATTGATTTTTGTAAAAAAGGGAGGGAGTGGGGGGGAAATAAATGGATGAGGTGATTTGCAATTGGGTACAAAGCCTTTCACCTTCAGATTGCCGGTTCTAATCCAAACCAAGATGTGTAGTGGCTGAGGTAGCTCTTGGATGACGTACTGTATGTGAAATTAGTTGGCACTCTCAGTTCAGCAGTTAATGGATAGGTGTCCATGTTGCAAAAGCACAAAACAAATGGAGTCCCTGGCTGAGACTGCCAACAGGAGGAGGCTAAGGATTAAACAGACTACGGTCACTGCACTACACTCTCACCCCTACATGTGGTCTCTCCAGTTCCGAGAAGAGGCACATTAGTGGAGTGGTGGTGGTGGAGTTTGTACTGTCCTCTGCCCATGTTGTACCTGTTCTGTGGATAGAGAATTCAAGTTTCCTGGACTGTCAGGCCAGCAGTTTTCAACAGCATTAAATTCACGAACACAAATCTTCATGTGTAAACAAGCAGGATATAAAAAAACCTGATGAACAGTCCAAAAAATATATTCTGGACAAAGGAGAAAAGGACCAAGTGGCAACTTAAAGAGGAAGAGGAAAACAAAGGGGTTAGGGAAAGGGAACGTTTTGGTTTATTACCTGAATATCCTCCTGAGGATTTGATGTACATCTGACCATACTGTTCTTCGACCATGGTATCATAAGCCTCATCATCTTCTTCATCCTCCTCATTGTGGTAGGAAGTGGGACTATCAGTAGTTGGAATGCTGCTGGCTCCTGGGCTCGTCCGCTCCCCTTGGGAGTACTGCACTTGCTGTATGTTTGGGATGAGAGTAGCTAAACTGGGCATTCCATAGTATGAAACACGAGACAACTTTAGCGGAGCAGCATTAGAAATGCTCCCTCCTGTACTATCCCGAGTGCTGGCTTCCAAGGGTCGCTTGGCAGGAAGGCCTGACACAGCTGTGGGTTGCAGCTCGAGATTTTCGTGTTTCACCCGGGTGAGGAGCGGGATGGGCATGGAAGGGGACATGACGTAGGGCACAGAAGCAGACTGCAATTGGTTACAAGGGCTCTGAGGTTCCGAACTAGGATCTTCTATCATGGTGGTTTGAGAGTCACAGTGGGGAGAACTCACTTTGAACATCAAGTCTGTCCCTTTTTCTACGATATGTTGGATCTGTAGGAAACCTGCAGTGTACATCACTACCAGCTGTTCACTTGCGGCCATTGTGAGTTTCCCAGTGTAACAAAATGAAAGGATTTGCTGGAAGCAGGCTGGTGGCACGGTACCTGGGAGCTCAAATGCACTTTTGCTGTTCCCGCTAAACAAGTCTCTGAAGTACAGGCTGCTGGCAGCTAACACCGCACGATGTGCCTTGAAGGCTTGGCCTTTGACAACTATGGAGACATCACAGTAAAGCCCCAGCAGCCTCTGCTCATTCAGGCAGCCCAAGACGGTGTTCCCAAAGTTGGGAATTTCTATGTGCAACATCTGTGACATGGCTCAGGATTAGTTGGAGCTCCTTAGACATGCAATGCAGAAGTATCCAAAGTAGGGCACATCTGAAAAATGAAGAAGGCAGGGAGAAAAAAACCCAGCATTTTTAGACAGTTCTCTGCAACAAACAAATAAAAACAAAAACAAACAACCTAACACAACTGAAGACTCAAAACTAAACCTAAGGGTTGATGTATAACACCAACTGTTTATAAAATTACTTATTGCTGTTTTTAAACAAACTTTTTAAAACAATGTATTTAAATATTCAAATATTCTCAAAGATTTTTTTTTAATTTATCATTGGTTCTTTCCTCTGGAGTTTAAAGTAAACAGGATAATATGGATGGTAACAGAGTAAGAATGAATAGTAAGGTAGCCCTATTAATATTCAACAGACCTTTGGAAATGGATAAAAATACCTGCTGAAACTCGAGATGAAATAGTTACAAAACAATGTGCCATTTTGTCTGAAATAAATCTAGCATTCTATCTAAGCAGTTATTGTAACGAAAACATATTTTAACGATCCTAGACGATTCCCCTACACTTGTTTTAAAAAAGAAAATATTCAGAGTTAAACTACTTCTAAGTGGAATTATAAGCGCCATTTCATTTAAAGGATATGAAAATTAAGCCAGGTAATTGAGCCCAAACAAACAAAACCAAGGTACTGCAGCAAACTTAACATCAAGTCATTTGTTTTTTCTTTAAATACAGACTAGGGCAAGAGAGTCTCCACATACGTCCCCCTCCGGCAAGTGCCCTATGTTCAGTTCCTGGTCATATTAAAAAGGGATTCTGTAGGTGACATAGTGCAAGTCTAATCCAAGGCAAGACATGCACCCCGTACTAGGAACAACCCCATCTTCTGACATCAGAAACAGTACTATCAAGAATGCCTCTGAACAATCTCAAGTCCAAAAAAAATACATCTTCAGCCTCTCCGACTTTCGACTTTGCATCAAATAACAGCACAGAGTGTGCTGGTTTAGGATATCAGCACCTTTTGGGGATGAGAATAATTTCTCCTTTTCGGTACAGAAAGAGGCAAGCTCTGAAACAAGCCCTATAGGAACAGTAAGATTAAATTAGGTAATTTTAGTGCATAAAATTCCAGAAAAGCCCGTAAGTGCTTATTAGCCCAAATAAAGGCTACACCCCAAGAATCTCCTGCCCACCATCACCCAGCCCCCCCTTAAGAGAACAGAAGATCTCAAATTATTTGCACTGGATGGTACTGAGTAAACTGTGTTTAACTAGCACCAAATCCTCATGACAATGGCATAAAAAGAAGTTTACCTGGTAATTTTTTTTTTTAAATCTCCTCTGAAAAGAAAAATAACCTACAAAGAACTTCTCTGTTCACACTGCTGGAAAAAAAGTGCTATCTGGAAAGCCACTGAGGAACAGGAAGAAAAGAGAACATGCTCAAAGCCAATTTAATTGTATCTGCATGGTTTAAAAGAGAATTCTTCAAAGCAAGGAACTTCTATGCCCCCTCATCTGATACCATGCGAACATACCTTAAACAACGAATGATCCAAGGTACTGCTGCTCAATGAAGGATCTCTTAAGTCCCTTTTTATCGCCTCCGTCTGCTACACTAACTGCAGCAACGAAGATCGTTCAGGGGGAAAAAAAAATAGTATCAAAACCTCCGTTTGTATCTGCTGTAGCTCAAGCTTTTACCAAGTCAAATCTCGACGGCAGTGCATAGCATCTAAATGAATAGGCCGGATGCAGATTAACATTCAGGCTGCTCTCTGCAATGAATAGAGCCCTTTGATTAGGGACCTGAAGTAAATGCCAGTTTCAAACCGAAGCTTTAAAAACAGAGAAAGATCAGTGCCAGAGGAATGCTCTCAGTGTTGGTACAAGACAGACTTTTGATGAGTCACTGCAATGCAAACAAAGATGGCAGAAATACTGTACTGTATGCTGATGAAATGCTTAGTGGTGCCACGGCAACTGAGACAGGTTTTAAATTTATAGTGCAGTTTTGCATATGAATTACGCTGTAAACTGCCTCCTCTGCCATCTAGTACATCCAGAGTGTCAAAGCATTTAAACTATTCCAAACAGTCTGCAGAGCTGGCACTGCTGCTGTTTAACTCCTCCAGCGTGAGGAAGAAATTAGTCAAAGGAAGCACATCTGCTCCAGAAAAAACTGCCCATCCCACGAAGGGGGCTGCTCAGTCCTTCACTCTGGCTCAAATCTCTCTGCCCCACGACAACAGATGAAAGGTTTAAAACCTATACAAGAATCTCCCTGCAACAAGCATCTAAAAATGTATATTGGGGGGTGCCCAAATCAGTACTAAATAAAGATGCTCCAGAGTCCTAAGTGCATTTGGAGCAACATTCATGGCCACCCTCCCCCTTCCTTAACACACAAGAAAGCTTTTCAAACACAGGAAAACGTTTACCCCTTGGGAAAGCTTCTCAGTCTGTGGCTGCATCCACTAAAAGCAAATCCATTTGCTTAAGTAATGAAATCCTAGTCACATTGTCTCCCAGATTCAAATTTTAAATTACCTTAACATTTATTGAGCAGGCTGGTGCTTTTTCTGGGAAAGGGGGTGGGGTCTTGCTTTTCTTACTTGTTTCCTGCATGGAACGTTTTTTATTTCAATTAATGCTCTGTGGTTGGTTCCAATTCCTCTGCTCATATGGTGCCACAGATAAAATTCAAAACTTAAAAAAAATAAAGATTAAATCAGGCCACCTTTAGTCAAAAGTAGCTATAGATAATGCAAATACGTGGGGGCTCTCCCCAGTCACTTATTTAGTGTGTGCAGGCCTGGTGTTTACTGTTCACATGTATACTTGGTGCATTAAATTCAACTCTGCAGAATCAAAGCAAAACACTGCCACTTTTGAGATTACAGAGGTTGGAAGCAAGCCTGGCTTTTCTTTTCCTTCCAGCAAAAGACACTAACACATTTACAGGACTAGCGGCCTCATAACAAGACTTGGCAGTCCTCTAAGCCTTCCAGCCAAGGATCTCAGAGCGCATGGAGAAGACATTAACAATTTAATCCAAACACACCATGAGCCAAGTTTTCCCTATTTTGCGGATCAGGAAACTAAGGCACAGAGTGGTGCCCAAGGTCACACAACAATTCTGTGCACAGCTGGGAGCAGACACCACATCTCCTGGGTCCTAGTCTCATGCGCTAACCACACTGTCCCCATCTTCCCTTCCAAGAATTGCCCATCGCTTTAAAAGTAAAACAATCCTATTTGAAAAAACGGAGATTTTCCCCACACCAGTTATTCTCTCTAAATTTCTGATTGTATTTCAGGTTCTCACTTGTCATCACCTCTACTTGGACTAAAAGAGAAAAGGAAACGTTTGGGATCATGGTCTCATAAGAGATTTCATTACTATACAGCAACCTTAACCCAGGGAAGCAACACAGCTGCTCTTGATGTTGTTGCCCACTTGCTAGAAGAAACCTCAGCAGAACTGCATCTCAGTGGATGGTATCAAACCCAGGGTCCTCATGCAATGGAAAACGAAAAGCAAAAAAGTTTACCACTCAACCTTCTATGAAGGAAGCCACGGCTATATGGAAAGCCAATCCTGGGTCAAGAATGAGCTCTCTTTTCTTATAGTAAGAGCTCCCTTAGAGATATATGAGAGGTTAGGGAAGTATCAGATGGTATCTTTTTTTTTTTTTTTTCAGCTTCTGAAAATTAGACAATGTAACATGAATGGAAAGAGCTAAAGATGGCTGATATTCACAAACAGAAGTAGTCAAGAAATGGTACTATAGAGTAGATAAGCATTGTTTTCCTTTAACACTACAGATTAATCAATTAATGGAGTCAATGGGGATATCAGACAAACAGATTATTTTGCATGGAAAATGGAATGAACACACAAAAACATCTTATGGGGAAACGTACAGCAGTTTCCTTAAAAAAAAAAATCAAGTCAGATTTGGAGTATAGCATTGAAAGCTTCACGTTTACATGCAACTTTCCTCATCTGCCACCTCACCCAGTTGCCTCCCCACCTTTTGTATCTACCATAACATCAGCTAGAAGTAACTTCTTTTAGTGGTGCAAAATAAAAAGTTAAAATTGGCACTCTTCCAATGAAATTCTAGAATATCATCTTCTATGACAAGCCTGTTAAAGTCTTCAACCTACTGTCTGCTCCCCATTTTAATTCAAAATATATTTGTTACCTCTTAGAAATGCTGGGTGGGTTTAGCTATGACGGAGTAGGATTTCGTTTGTATTTTCCCTTAAAAGAAAGAAGTCGTGCCAAGAAGATACCACCACATTGTTACCCCCGGAAATTAGGGTCACAATGGTCCAGGATACACTCCTTAATAAGTACCAAAAGAACACAACTAGACAAAAGACTTCACCTTAAACCACCATGAATCGCCAGAGCTTGAAACGGTTTTTAAGGCATGTCTACACTGCCCAGCAGTTCAGACTATGGGGTTGTGAAATCAGTACACACCAAAGTGCTGTGCTGTAATTTTCTTGTGTACATGCTGTGGGCGGTTTTTGTTTGCACCTGCAGTGTCCACGAGAGGGAATTGCAGCACAGCACTTTGATGAGCACGGACATTCACACCTCCATTGTCCAAACTGTGGGGCAATATAGACAAGAACCTGGACTTCCAGTGGCATTCCATATACAGTATTCATTTGTTGCTATGATGTTTCACGAAGGATCCAAATTTAAAAATCGCACCATTCCGATTACCATCTTGCCTTTTCTCCACTTCTACCTATTGTAGCAGCTACAACTCTCAGAAACCACTAGAGTTAGGACTCAGTCTTTCATATAGTATAAAATAATAGTTTCTACTTCTAGATTTTCAGGAGATAAAAGCTTCTGAAATCAAATTCAAACTGAAGTGGAAAAAAGGCAAGATAGTAATCAAATTAAAATGACAATTTTAATTTCTGATATTTCACGACCTGCCCGGTCTAGAAACACTATGAGAAAACTAAAGCAAACACTGTCAGGACCAGTTAGGGTGACCAGATGTCCCGATTTTATAGGGACAGTCCCGATATTTGGGGTTTTGTCTTATATAGGTGCCAGTTACCCCCGACCCGATTTCTCACCCTTGTTATCTGGTCACCCTAGGACCAGTAAGCTTTTCAAAGCACTAGTCCTGGCCCAGTGTTCAGAAAAATGTTTTCTGGTCCTTGGCTATCTTTCTTCCACCCTTTTATGGCCCATGTTCTACCATGGTGAATCCAACTGGTGGACAGAGAGCTAACAAAGTAATCTTGGAAGACTGAATAAAAACCACAAACGCTATTTGTCACTGTACACGCCTGAAGAAATTGCTGAGAGTTTCTGATAACGGTAACATTGTCTTATACCTGACAGGTCTTGACCTAATGTTTCCAAAGTAATGCTAGTCTTTCTCCAAACTCTTTGTTCAGAAAAAGAGGACCAATAAGTCCTTTGAAGTGTTTAAACTTTGTTTTTTACTATATTAAACTTGTGAGTTCCCTGTGCTGAAATAGAAGGAAAATGCCCTTAGAAGTGAAAGGTGTAAATTACTGGTTCACAAAACTGCACCAAATAGAGCTACTTCTGTGTAACCAAGTCCTAGTCACTGTATAGGGCAAGACAGTTTCTTCTTCATGTGGTCAGTTTTCTCTCTTTTAGATTCAACTTTTTTTAAATAAAAGACAATCAGACCAAGAAAGTCTCCCCACCTCCTCTGCACAACACTTTAGCTCAAATGGGAAAAAATGTAACTAAATTTGAAGTTTTTAAAAAAATAAAGAATTAAGCTGCATTGAAAGTCAACTGAAAAAAAGATCATTTTCTTTTCTTGCTGAAAACCCCTTGTTGGGAACTTTTAGGCATCTATCAAAACAAGTTTACATTAAAACATATTTTTAGGAAAGCCATAGCCCTAGTCTTAACACATTCCTAAAAAGTTTAGGCATTATTTGACATAAGGCATGTTACAGTTTTGTGAATATCCCAATACCGCTCTGTTGCAGCTACACACGCACTTTGGATGCTGAAGGTTTGCTTCTTCTAAATGACTTGTTTGTTTAAATGCCCAAGTGGTCTGGACCACACTAACTTTCCCTGAGGGAAAAAAGTTATCTACCTAGAACAAGATGCTACCATCACAGCTCCTTTAGGAAGCAGAAGTAATGAAATAATGTATTTAAATGGTCTTTTCCTTAGACAACATATAAGGCTCAGAGACAACCAAAGCACAACTTATTTATTTTAAAAGAAAGGTCCTTGTCATAATTGCTTTCTTAAAAGTGAGGTGTACTGAAAAGCAGCTGGACGTCAGAAAAATAAAAGATTCAGTGACCCTCAGAGGGCTGTAAACAAAACTCCACAGAAAAGCTTTCACAGCTATCCCCAGCCAAAACTCTCATCAAAAGAAAATAGCTGAAAAGTCCTGCCCTTGAAGGCCCCAATGGGTCAAAAGAAACTTCCCTTTCTTCTGTAAATGAGGAGAGAGAAAGAAAATCACACCCTTCAACTTAAGGCTGCTAGGGGATTTCTAGCATGGAAGAGGCACATTTGAAAGGAACAATAGAACAAGCTTCAGAAGGAAAAAATGAACAGAA